CCTCGTTCACCCCTCCTCATCATCGCTCCATTCATCCTCCTACGCAACCCAAGGACGACCTCACAGGGTCCAATAACACATCCAGATAAGCAATGTACGAGGTGTGTTTGCGATTTGGCCGTGCCCCGACCGTCAACGCCCCCCGAACCTTCTAAAACCACTCGGCTCGTATGTTCCGGCTTCGTGCAGCCCCTCGGGCAATCGCCTCTCCGAGACCACTGCGCCTTGGCACGGCGGCGGACCCCGCCGCAGGCAGCCGGATAGCTGAAGATCGGCGGCGAGCCTGGGGGGGAAGTCAGAAGGACGAAGCCTTCTAAGAAGGAGGCGGGACTTCTCAGAAACCCTCGCGCCATCTGAGAGGTCTTCTGGTGTCTTCGGGGAAGACTCAGGAAACGAAGGCCAGGGGACCTCCGAGCCTTCTGAGAAGGCCCGCCCATTTTCGCTTCCCCCCCTCGCTCGCCGCCGAGAAGAACAGCAGAGCTGCGTTCACGGTGGAGCTCGTCTTGGCAGTCCGCAGCAGCCAGTGGACAGCCCCGCGGTCGAGGAGCCGCCCGAGAGGGCCAGGGGAGGCCAGCAAGCCAACCATCGCTCGCTGGGCCTTGCCATCGCTCGGACGTCCATTCCCCGTGCATGTTTGGGCTTCGTGCGCGTCTTCTGTGTCGCAAGATGATCGAGGATGCTCCTCGATGGTCCTCGCCCAGAACAGCGACCTTGCAAACGGCGAGCGAAAAACGAATTACATTCCACGTGGATCTTTTGTAGTCCTCACGCCTGGCCAACAAAAACATCCACACAAAACTCACTCCGAAATCCGACACGAAACTCTCCAGGACAATCCGGACCCATCCCACTGTATTCGAACGAACTCCGCTCTGCATGTTGGCGCCGTGAAATGAATCGGCATCGCAGCCCCAGCGGGCGACTCGAACCGCATCGGACCGCATCACAGGCCGCCTAGGCGAAGCTCCCCGCGGGCCTCGACCTCGCGCTGAGGATTCTGACGAGGGGGAACGTTCGGGGGGGAGACCGGCGCAGGAGAGGAGGAGGAGGAGGAGGAGGAGGAGGAGGAGGAGGAGGAGCAGGAGGAGGAGGGGCAGGAGGAGGAGGAGGAGGAGCAGGAGGAGGAGGAGCAGGAGGAGGAGCAGGAGGAGGATGAGGAGGAGGGGGAGGAGGAGGGGGAGGAGGGGGAGAGGCATCGCGCTGGAATCGGCGATGCATCGCCGACAGGTCGGCGATGGGCCACCGGCATCGAAACCGCACGCTCCAGGGCGGGGCGGCCTGTCGGGCCCTGTCGGCGATGGGTGCGCGACTTGGGGTCGAGCCTCCGAAGGCCTCGCGCGGAGGCGCGCGCGCGCCAAGGCGCGAAGCGCGGGCGAACCAGGCTGTTCCTGGCCTCCCTCTGCTCCTCAGGTGGCGGCTGCACGACCGCGGGGGAGGTTCGTGAACAGTGACGTGCCCTCCGTGGTGACGCAGTAGGCGACGTACCCCCAGCCGCACTGCCGCCACAGGACCTGCGGCCAGCAGAAGATGGAGAAGCGCGGGGAGCTCAACGAGGTACGCCTACCCTTCGTCGGCGCGCGCGGGGGGGTGGCGCAGGGGAGGCGGCTCTGTACGAAGGCAGGGGCGCTTGGAAGCCCTCTCGGACTCCAAGAAGCCATCGGAGGAGGAGATGGCGTACGGGAGGAGGAGGAGGAGGAGGAGGAGGAGGAGGAGGAGGAGGAGGAGGAGGAGGAGGGCCCTTTGAACTAAGAAGGCCCAAGCCTGCTTGGAAGGGCCTGGCGGGAGGGGCCCGCCTCCCGCTGGGGGGCCTGCATCTCCCACGACGGGGGCGAGGGAAGACCACGGCACCACCACCACGGCCCAGGGCCAGGCAGCGCCCTCCTGGTGGTGCGGTGTGGTCCCCTGCGCTGGGGCGTCTCGGACGAGGCAGCTCCGACATCTGCCTCGGGGAGGCATTCGCTGGCCTCCTCGCTAGAGGTGGCCCGCTGGTCATGGTGGCGATAGTGTGGCTTCTCCGCCCTTCTGGCATCAAAACAGAAAAAGGGGGGAGGAGGGAGGGCCGAGGTGGAGGTACGGGGAGGCAGGCATCCCCGAGGGCCGAGAGACTTCCACGGACGGTGCGTTCACACCAGGCAAGATGCACGTGGCCTTGGCCTGCAGGCAGAACTCAAACATGTGAATGGAATCCCCTTGAGCAGATAGTCGGCATAGAGCGAATGGAGACAACGGCGGCTCAAAATCGGTACCCGAACCCCTCCCAATGTCCAAAGGCACCCATTTGCCGAGCTGGGTCCAGCCGTGGCAAGAGGGCCCCCTCGACCAACTACCGTTGTCTCAACCGGCCCCCCTCTGAGACAGCACGTTAACGCTAGGAAGAACAGCCCCTGGCCCAACCCCAGTGCACGCTACCAGCCTCCCAGCAAGACGAGGGTGGGTACGAACGGATGCAGGACCCCAGTTTAAGTCGGGCGTGTCCCCATACAGGGGAATTTTCGACGAAAAATAAAAAGTATCAAAACAATGTTCAAAAATGGTCACAAAATACTCAAAAATAGTCCCCGGACTATTTTTGACTATGTTTTAACATTCCTCCTGTAGAGGGACGGGCCCGACTTAATCCCAGTTTGCTCCTCGCCTCTCGCTGCGTGCGGCGCGACCATCTCCGCGCCCTCGCACGGCCCCCGGGGAGAAGGGCACCTCTGCGGCCCGGGCCGCGGAGTGCGGAGCACGCCTGTCCTGGCATCCCTGCGGGTGACCTGGACAGGTCGGGTTCGAACGGCTCGGTGATCTCTGCGAGCCGGTGGATCCAGAGTTGAGGGATGAAAAACGACCCTAGCCTGGGTTACAAGTGCGTGGTCTGTAAACCTCCTGGGAACCCCCAAAGCCTAGAGCCGCCAGGAGGCGGCACCTCACGCAGGGCTTACCCTGTCAGCCCACAGGAGTTTCAGCGCACAGCACCTCGTAATCCAGGGTAGGGGCGTTTTTTAGTCCTTGACGAGGACGTATCGGGCACAGGGACCTTCAAGTATCATGTATAAACGCTCTTGGAAGGATCTGCAACGTCGCTCGTATCATGAGAACGCCTAGAGGTGTTAGGGGGAGGTGGCTGGAGGAGGGTAGGACGGGGTGGGCGCACTTGTTTTGCCCCCCAGGATGGAGTGGTGCAGCATCATTTGCAGATACATCGCCTTCTTCGCTGCCGCGATGATCGCTCGTCTCCAGATAAGCATGACCACCAGGTCGAAAGCGAGAAAACCCATCGAGAAGCCAAAAGCCCTATGACAGCCAGGCAGCGGCCTCCCGTTGTAGTGGAAGTCTGCGTCGAACGCTCGCTCCCAAAAGAGCGTGGGCATCTCCCCCACGAGCAGCGATACCGAGATACAGCCACAGAACAGGCAGTACGAGTACTGGTGCCACACTACCTTTGTGTCTGCATCAAGGTCTGCGAAGGCGCGCCCGAAGACTCGCCCAGCAAAGGCTACGCTCAAAAGCCCCGTGACCGCACACCATGCCCACGCCGCAGCTGCTGCAACCCAGAAATCTGGCCCTAACGCCAATGCTCGATCTTCTGGTGGGTTCCACTGCCACCATGGTGGCTCCATCATCTTATCAAAATCTGGATGGTAGAAACTGATCCGCTTGAGCCGAGCTGGATATGGAATGGGATCAGAGTGCACGGGGACAAGCGGTCTGGCACTGGAGGAGATGATCGAGAGATGGGTAACGACTTGAATGACATGGGGCCAAACGGTCTTACACCGGATGCTCACTTGAGATGAGGCCGTGCCGTGCGAAACATATGGTGTTGTTGCTTTGGTTGTCCGCTGCGCCCCGCGACTGGGCCAGCGAGGCCATTGAACCCGCCCCCGCGACCCTCCCCGCTGCGCGACACGCAACTCGCTCCGCGGACCGCCGACGACCCGCCCCTGCGACACGCCGACGACACGCCCACGAGCCGTGCTCGCCGCAGCACACGCGCGTGGCGGCCCGCGGCGCCCGCGGCGCGCGCCCCCTCGCCTTGCCGCGGGGGCCTGCGCACACACGCATGCGCGCAGTTCTCGGATGCGCTTGCGATCTCGAATGCGCCTGCGCAGCTGCACCCAGAGACGGACGCCCGTGCACATGCAGCGATGCCGCTACGCAAGGCCACAGCCATGTGCGGCGCCACAACATTACTACGCTCATGCCGCAGGCGCGACGGCGGATGGTATACGTAGCATCGGCGATGCGGGCAGCGCGATCTTCCAACCTAAAGGGTGGAGGTCTCGCCGTGAGCGCCAGGGTGAGCCAGAGGAGTGCGAGAGCGCGCGCTGAGATGCCAAGCACTGGACCCAAAGGAATGCCCGCCACCGCTGGTTGGGGCACTGGCCTGAGAGGCCGATGGGGCTGAACCCATTCTGCCCATCCCTCTCGTTGTCATGTGCGTCCTCTGTCTGCTGCTCCTCCTCCAGTTCCATCCCTCCTACTTTCTCTCGTCCCTCCATCCCCCCTCCATCATTCTCCCTCCTGTCTCCTCCCCTCTCCCTCCTCCTCCTCCTTCTCCTCCTCCTCCTCCCTTTCCTCCTCCTCCTCCTCCTCCTCCTCCTCCTCCTCCTCATCATCATCATCATCATCATCATCATCATCATCATCATCAGCATCAGCATCAGCATCATCATCATCATCATCATCATCATCATCAGCATCATCATCATCATCAGCATCATCATCATCATCACCAGCATCAGCATCAGCATCAGCATCAGCATCGTCAGCATCAGCAGCATCATCATCATCATCATCATCATCATCATCATCATCATCATCATCATCATCATCATCATCATCATCATCATCATCATCATCCCTTTCCTCATCCTCCCTCAACTCCTCCTCCTCCTCATCATCCTCTTCTTCTACTCTTCCTTCTCCTCCTCATTATCCTCCTCCTCCTCTCCCTCTTCCTTTCCCTCCTTCATCTACTGCGAACCGTCCTGATCGACGGCAAAAGCCGCTGGCGCCTGCTAGGGATGTCAATGTTCACCTCTGTCGCGAGCTTGAACCTTGGTGGCCAGCTTGCCTCATGTGAATCTCCCCGCTCGAGGAGGAGCAGGATTAGGGAGGAAGGAGGAGGGAGGAGGCAGAATGAAGAGGAGAAGGATGAAGAAGGGAAGACGAGGAGCGAGGGAGGAGGGTGGATGGGGAGGGGGGAGGAAAGAGGGCGGCAGAAGGAGGGAACAGGGAGAATGCCGAGGGGCACACCCCGCATCACACAATTTCCCCCAGGTCACCTGACTTCGCGCATCACGCCTGGCGAGGCGCGACGCGCCTTCACCTTCGCGCAAACTAAGCGGCCCCAGCCGCGACGCGCGAAGTGCGGTTCGCTATGCACCATTTGGGGTGACCTAGTTCCCACGTCTCCCGTCCCCCTTCCAACCTGCTCAGTCTCCTCCTGACTCTCTGTTCTGTCCCGCACCCGTTTCCTGACCCCCGCCCAAATTCCTGATGCGCTCGTGCACCTCCGGCATCGGGAACGATGCCCTGCGCCTGCTTGAAGCTCGACGTCGGCAGCGCTCGGAGCTGCGAAGGCGGGGACACATGACGGGGTCGAGCCCCTCCAGGGCCCCCAAGACTTGCAAACATCGGCGCGCTCCCCCCGCAACGTGGACCCCGGCAACCCTACCATGACGCAGCCGAACCGACGTGTTCGCCAGGGCTCATGCCAGGGGGGGGCAGAAGAGCATCCACCCTCAACCTGCCCCCCCCCCCCCCCGAAGACCAACCTGGCCGCCCCAGGAGGGTCAGGCTGGTTGTGTTTTTTTCTGTCCGTGCCGCGCGCGACACATCCTCGCGATTGGGCTTCGAAGCTCTCTGGCCCAGCCCCAGAGGGAAGACAGTAGCCAGGTGGGGGTGGAGGTGTGCTTTCTTTACCCCATCACGTGCTTCACACAATTGAGTGCAAACGAAGCGTGGTCTCTCTAGCCTCCTACGAAGACTCACCGACTGCTCTGGCCGTCTCGAGTCCCGCGCTGGTCTCACGATCTGGGCATGCGGCTAATTGGACAAGAACTGTTGACCGAGATCGTCTTCCTCATCCTCCTGCTCCCCAGAGGTCCCGCGAATGCCTCCAGCGGTACTCAAAGATCCCCGGAGGCCCAATGGAGGCCAAAACAACTAACACAAACTAGATCCTCCTCCTCCTGCTCCTCCTCCTCCTACTCCTCCTCCTACTCCTCCTCCTAGCCCTCATCCTCCACCCTCTCGGTGAAGGCCCAGACCAAGACAAAAACGCGCAACAACTCAATCCTCAAGCTCCTCCTCCCCTCCTCCTCTCCTCCTCCTCCTCCATCCTCCTCTCCTCCTCCTCTCCTCCTCCTCCTCCTCCTCTCCTCCTCCTCCTCCTCCCCCTCCCCCTCCTCTCTCCTCCTCCTCCTCCTCCTCCCTCCTCTCCCTCCTCCATCCTCCTCCTCCTCCTCCTCCTCCTCCTCTTCCTCCTCCTCCTCTCCTCCTCCTCCCCTCCTCCTCCCCATCCTCCCCTCCTCCTCCCTCCTCCTCCCTCCTCCTCATCTCCTCCCTCCTCCTCCTCCTCCTCCTCCTCCTCCTCCTCCTCCTCCTCCTCCTCCTCCTCCGTCCACCCCCCTCACCCTCGCCTTCCTCATCGTCACGCTGGTGTGATCCTCGTACTAAGGATCGGACTGCCAGAAATCGTTCAGCCGCTGCTGCCCGTCGTAACCACCGAAGATGTAAAGTGCACCCTGGTACCTCGGAGGAAGAGGAGGAGAGCGAGAAGGGAACGGCACAAGCTGGAGCCTGGCCTACGCACTCGAGAACGCGCAGGCAGACTGGAAAGGAAAAGGACATGGCCAGAGAGAGATCACGATGGGCTCGGGAAGCAGTGTCTTACCCTCTTGCGGCGGTGCCGCCTCGAGAATCGCGAGGAGAGAGGAGGACAGGGAGGGGGATGGTGGTGACGCCACCCCCTCCTCCTTCTCCTCCTCCTCCTCCTGCTACTCCTTCCCCCCCCCACTTCATCATCGTCATCCTCTTCCTCCTCCTCCTCAGCCTCCTTCCCTCCTGCTCCTCTTTTCCCTGCCCCTGCCAGCACACTCATCCAAGCGGTGACTAGACCCTTACTGGGAAAGCATGAGTCGCCTCGCCGCTCCGACCCTGCACCTCCGCATCACCCTTCCCCTCCCGCCCCTCCGTCTGCCCTCCACCGCCTCCACGTTGCTTATCGAGGACCCTAAACAGTGAGTGCAACCAATCTTTGTGGTGCAATACACTTGGTGCCATTCACCAGCTTGCACAGCGCGTGACCACCACCACTGCTCGTCGTCAACTGCACCGAGCCATGCCACCCACCTACACGCAGTGTTGTGGCAAAGCCCACCTGGCGTGGTGACGCTCCCCCGTGCAGCAGACCCTCAACTCGGGTGGTCGAGTAATGAGGACGACGGCGAAAAAATGGAAAAGGCGACGACAGCGACGATGGCGATTGCATTAATAACGGCAGTGGGGATCATGACAACAACGATGGTGATGGGGTGATGGTGACAGAAATCATGGTGCCGACGACGACGCTGGCGCTTCTGATGGCGATTGGAATGATGAGGACGATGAGGACATGCGTGCGCAGACATTCTGAATCTCTGACATACGACCTATTGAACGTGAACCTGGCGCGACCCGGATCCCACCAGCCCTCGTGCCGTATGTGGTCTAGGGCGGTTCCTCTTTCAACCCCTTTCTTCCCCTTCGTGGATGGGTTTCTCATTGTTCCCTATTAATAAGAACCCCCATCCCCCAGGCGACTGGTAGCCAACCAGGAACCATGAGGGCCCCCTAAACATCCCTTGTAAAAACCATACGTGAGGAGTGCTACTTCTAGCAACACCCACATCTCATGCACGGCACGAAAGCCAGAGCCCCTCCTGAGCCAAGAGCGGTCTTACTTTCGGGGAGAAGTAAGACTCGGGCTCGGGGGACTCGGGTTGGCCTGACGAGGCCATCATGAAAATGGCGAGACCCAATCCGAAACTCGACGCGAGCTCCGACTGCAAAACCTCCCACAACAACCAGACCGTCAACATCCAAGACGCGCCTCACCAAAAAGCGCCGGCAGGCCCGCATTCCGGCGCACTCGAGCCTTACCCAGACATGCGAAATCCGGATTTTTTCAGGACGGCGCCCCTGGAAGTCCAGACCCTTTCACCGGGGCCGTTTTTTTTTATCCCGAGTCGTTTTTTGACGGTCCCGAGGCCCCCAGGGGCCGAAAATAGCGAAAAACCTGCCGTCCTGAGACTTGTCTTGACGACGCGATCATGTCTGGGCACGCTGCCCCGGTCTTATCTCCGCGCCGCGACTCTGGAGCGTCTCGCCCCCCCCCCCCGCCCTTGGCGGGCGCGGCAGCGCCCAGAGGCAGACGGGCGGGCGCACATGTCGCAGGTGTGGCAAAACCGCGGGCAGGGCACCCCGGTCTCGGCCGGCCGGGGCGGCCGGGAGGGGGGGCGGATCCGGGCGTGGGGCCCAGGCCGAGGAAGGGGGGAGGGGGGGGCGGAGGAGGCGGAGGAGGAGGACCGGGGAGGAGGAGCAGGGGGAGGGGGAGGAGGGGAGGGGGGGGGGAGGGACGAGGAGGGGTGGAGGAGGAGGGAGGAGGAAGGCCGCGCGTCACAGAAGCTACGATCGCTGATTGAAGTGCCCTAAGCGTAAAGAGTCGCCCTTTGCCCCCTTCGCCTTTACTCGATTCCCTGCACCCAACCTGCAGCTGGTCCTGAGCGTTTTCTTGCCGATAATGCCCGTTGGTCCATTATTATACAGCTTGACGAACATAGCTGATTAAACACAGATGGCTCACGACGAAGATTGAAACCTCATGCTCACCAGGCTCGACACTGTTAGTTTACGCGAACTACCATAGCGAACAGCTGAGCTGAACGAGTTAGCATCCAAGAGAAAATGGTTAGCCAACTGAATTCGCTCAGTCAGACGAGCTGGGAAACTGGTTGACCAACTTCCTCGCGGCTAAGTGGGCAAACCTAGAAACGGTGCTGATGCAAGGCTATGATGTATAGTAACCAACCCACAAACGACTTGGAGTGTTTGGTATTCGAACTAATTCTCAACCAAGAGAAAGCCCCCCCTCACCTTTCCAAAAGGACTGCGACGAGCTCAGAGGGAGGCGTACAACTTTGATATGTCTTGATGCTATCTCTGTGTGTGCGTTTACGTGTTTGGCGGCATTGTGGTCTTCGGGTGCCGCCTGATTGTTCTAGAGAGGCAGGAGTGGGTCCTGACATTCCTGAAGGGGCCCAGGAGCCCCCCCCCCCACACACACACACACACACACACACACACACACACACACACACACACACACACACACACACACACACACACACACACACACACACACACACGTTTGACCGAGTGCTCCCGATAATAATCCCCGTGGGGTAATAAAGTTCGGGGGTCTGGCGGGGATAATCACCGACTGCCCCGGGGAAGGTGATTTTAGTTAAGTTCTGATGATGACGATGATGATGACGATGATGACGATGATCCTGGGCGCTCGTGTAGACTGACCTGGTAGATCCTGGCACAAGACTTACTCGAGAGATCTCCAGGCTCGTGGCTACAACTTGCCTGCGCAAGAGAGGTCCTTAGTCCTTGGCGTGTCTGGCCAAGAAACCTCTCTTGCGCACCGTGTTTGATGCTGTTGCTAGTCAGCATGAGATACTCGCAACTTCGATTCGCAACTTCCCCCGGGGGTTCTCAAGTTCGGCCTCCGCGCCTTCTCCACAGTTAAATCCTATTGACACGGGATAATAAAGGGGTGAAGGGGGGGGTGATATATCATCGGGGGCAGTGGGGTTATATATACGTATAGACACAAATCCCCGGATCCCTCACCTTTCCATATTCTCTAGAGCTTCGTCTTCCCCCCCACTTTCCATATCTCCTAATTTGCTCCTTGGAGTCGCTGATTATGTGTGTCTGTGTTGTTCCCCATGAGTTCGGGCAATTTGGCTCCTCCTTTTGTGGGCTCTCGGGGCCACGGCCAGACGCAGCTCAAAAAAACCCGGCAGAGAGAAGCCCATAGCGAGGAGCAATGAGAAAGGACGACAGTCGGACCTAGGCCAGAAAAACATACTTTCAAGAACATGAGACCCTCATCCAGCCAAAACACACAGAACATCCAAGGGTACGGGTACCCTCCGCGAACTGACCTCGATCATATACCTCGGTCCGACTGCAAGTGCAAAGCGACAGGGTCGTCGCACAGAACAAAGGAGAGACCCAATGACCTCGATCAAACGATAAGCAATGAGGGGGGAGGAAGCAGGGAAGGCAAACAAACATCGAACGCAGAACGTTCTTGTCCTGTTTCGCGATGGCGGCCGTTACCGGCCCTGGCCACCGCCCCTCCCCTCCCCTCCAAAGGTAACGCCACGAGTCGTGCTTCGTGGACATTCCCAGACGGCGCCGGCGCCAAACGTAACGTTAGCAGCCCACGCCCTCCCCCACCCCTACCCCCGCGGTAACGCCCGCCCGCTATCGCCCGAGAATAAAAGTGCTCTCTAGGAGCAGGAGAAGCATGAGCAAGAGAAGCAGAAGGCTGAGGAAGAGAAGGACGCGGACCAAGAGGACAGGAACACCACGAGAAAGAGGAGGGAAAGGGAGAGAGGAGGAAAGACAGGTCAAGACAAGATCCCCTGTGAGTCATGGCTCTGGGTCTGCAACGGAGCGGAGCGCTTGGGCGCCACACCTCCCCAAAATTCTCCCCAGCCGGCATGCTTGGCTCCGACTTTGACTCTTCATCCTCATCCTGGATTTGCGGTGCACCCGCGCCAGTACTGACAGCTTCGAGCACTTGAGTTAGGTCGGGGATGCCCCCCAAAGTCGGATTTTGACATAGTCCGAAAATACCCATTCATTGCCCAAAATAATACAAAAATCGTCCCAAGACTATTTTTTTACTAGTTTTGACTACTCCTTCTGTAGAGGGGCACGCCCGACTTACCACTTGAGCCTGACCTTGGCACATCCCGAAGTCTCTGGCCGCCGCTCCGGCGGCCGCGTTGCCCTCCCCATCGTGCCCTCCTGCTTCTTCCCTGACTACCTACCAGGCAACCCCAACCCAACCCGAAGACTCGAATTTCGGGTTGGGGGGGTACGGGTTCCATATGTGTTTTTTCAATGTTCCCCGACCCCCCCCCCACTGGAAATGGAGGACAAATTGAGGCCTTCGGGTTGGGTTGGGGTGGTTTGGCGGGTAATGGTAATGATTCCCCACTCCCTTGTGCCCAATTCGAGTCCGACGCGCCCCGCCGATAGCCCACCGCAGGCTGGATCCAGCTCGCGGCTGATGGAACACATTGGCGCCGACGATCAAGACCAGCCGCTAGTCTGAGCGGTCTGGGAGACCCGGGCGGCCGTCTAAGCGTGGCCACCGTGTCGCGTGCCGTTTTCCTCTTCCACTTCCCAGGAAGCCCCTGGCGTTCGCCCTCGTGTTGCTCTGGCCTTGAGTTTCAACCACGGTGGGCGTTCGGCGTCATACTCTGGACCTCGCGAGCCCTGCCCAGGGCCAATGGTTCATCATTGTGTTTGCGTGCTGTGATCCAGCAGCCCGTAAGCAACACCCTGAGGCTAAAAACTGATACAAAAAATCAAGTCGTGTGTTTGTTCAAGACGTTGGAAATGTGCGTTCTACTCCTCCTCCTCCTCCTGCACCTCCTCATCCTCCTCCCTCCGCCTCCTCCTCCTCCTCCGTCTTTCTCCTCCTCCTCTTCCTCCTCCTCCTCCGCCTCTTCTTTCCCCTCCTCCTTCTCCACTTTCATCCTCCTCCTTCCCTCTTCCTCCTCCTTCCTCCTCCTCCTCCTCCTCTTCCTCCCTCCACCGCCTCCTCCACCTCCTCCTCCCTCCTCCTCCCTCCTCCTCCTCCTCCTCCTCCTCTTCCTCCTCCTCCCCTCCGCCCCTCCGTCCAAGGGCCTTCAGGGCGGAACCAGAGGCTGGCCTGACCTCCTGCCACTGCTCCGTCTCGAAGCTGAAGGAATACCTCGGGCGCGGCTTGGTCCTCCCTCGGCTCCCATGGATGAGGATCGACTCGACTCGACTCGCGCCCCGTTCAGCCAAGAAGGCAGGCCCCAGTTAAGGGGAGGAGCGGCATGCCACAGCGGTGCGGTACCCCGCACCGAGCGGCGGGTGAGACATGTAGCTCGCTCTCAGTGCTGGAGGATCGAGGATCGAGGATCGTTTGTCGGCGCGCACAACGAGGTAAGGGGAGGTGGGAAGGCTTCTTCGAAGGCGGCTGCCGCGCGCCGCTTCGTAGAAGCACCCCAACAGCTTCTCAGAAGTGCGGAACTGCGTCTCGTAAACAGAGCAAGAACATATTCAAAGAAGCAGCCACAAACGTCTTAGGAGGGGCGCCCACGCCTTCTGCGAAGGGGGGTGCTTCTGAGAAGCCTTCCCCCCTCCCCCTGCCCCCCCTTGCGCGTTGCCGAATCGAGGACGGTGATGCAGAAGACCGATGGGCAAACATCGGCGACACGCCGAGGGGGGAAGCGAGAGGGGCCAGGCTCCCTCAGCAGGCGGCAGGGCTGCTCAGAAGCCCTCCGGCCTCCTGAGAAGCCGCCCGTGGCCTCGGAGCAGGCTCGGGTCGGGCATGTCTTCCTTCAGGCAGATTTTGGACGAACAATGAAAGAGATTCGAAGAACACTCAAAATAGTCAGACAAAGAACACTCGAGATTCGAAGAACACTCGAGATTCGAAGAACACACATTCGGGGACGGGCCTGAAGCCAGAAAGTCACCGACAATCAGCCAAAGTCGAAAGTCTCCGAGTCTGACTCGACGCCGTTGCGCGAGGCTCGGAGGGAGGCGGCCCCTAGGTCCTTGACCCAGGGTAGATCCGACTCGACGAGGCCGAATCGAGCAGCCCAGGGAGGGCACAGGCAAGGGGCCTGCCGCGGAAGGGAGGCGGCAAGGGGCGGCGAGCGCCGCCAGGAGGCAGGCGGGGCGGGGAGCACAGGTCGTTCCGCGCGCTGCCGGTGCTGCCGCCGAAGAGGTACATAGAGTCGCCGCAGATCACCTGGCGCGGGAGGGGGGGGGGGGGGGACGAACGAGAAGAAGAAGTAAGAACGAAGAAGAAGACGAAGAATAAAGGACGAATAAGACGAAGAAGAAAGAAGCAAGAGAAGAGAAGCTCGATGGAAGTAAAGAAGACGAAGAAGAAGAAGAGCAAAGAACGACGACGAAGAATAAGAAAAGAAAGAAGATGAAAGCAGTAAAGCAGAGCAGACAGAAGCAAGAAGAGTAAGAAGAATAAGAACAGCCTCCGGAGCAGACCGGACGCACCGAAAGACAGAAGAAGCAAGGGAGAGAAGAAGAAGAGAAGAGAAGGAAGTGGACGAAGAAAGGGAAGAAGAGCAGAAGAAGAAGAAGAAGAAGAAGAAGACGAAGAAGTAAGAATAAGAAGAATAGCACGAAGGAGAAGAATGAGAAGAGGAGAGAATAAGCAGGGGAAGAATTCCTAAGACGAAGAGAAGGCAAAGGGAAGAAGAAGGTAGACGTCCGAAGCCTAAAAGAAGAGATAATAATCCGTATACGCAGCCTCACTCCTCAAATCCGACTAATCCGCAAGAAAGCAGCAATACTAAATCTCAGCCTAATCATAACACTAAGAACTACTAATCCCTACCCCTCCCTCCTCTCCTCTCTTCCTCCTCTTCCTCCTCCCGCCTCCCTAACCATCAATTACTACCTCATCCTCCTCCTTACTCATCCTCCTCCTCCTCCCTCCTCATCCTCCTCCTTACCTCCTCCTCTTCCTCTCTCCTCCTCCCTTCCTCCTCACTCTCCCCCTCCCTACTCCTCTTCCCTCCCCCCTCCTCTCCTACTCCTCATCCTCATCCTCCTCCCTCCTCATCCTCCTTCCTTCTCCTCCTCCTCCTCCCTCCTCCTCCCTCCTCCTCCTCCTCCTGGGGGGGCCGCGGCGCCGCCGCTGCCGCCCCGCGTGGGCGGGCCCGCGGACGCGGCTCTGGCTCGGCCGCCGCGGCACGGCCCGGCCGGCGGCTCGAGGGCGAAGGGCCCCGAAGGCGGGGTGGGTGGGGGGGGGGGGGCCGAGGAGGGGAGGCCTCAGAGGGGAGGGGTTGTGCTCAGTCAATTGATGAGCCAACTTCCACCACCCCTACCATAGGTAGGACGGGGCAGAAAAGAGGATAGGGAGGCCCTCCTCCTCCTCCTCCTCCTTCTCCTCCTCCTCCTCCTCCTCCTCCGCCTCCTCCTCTTCCTCCTCCCTCTCCTACCTATGGAAGTGGTGGTGGAACGACGGCCCATCATCAGGTGTTCACCACCCGACAGGTCGGAGTTGTTGGACTCAGAGGAAAGAGCTCGAAGGGGCCCTGGGACACATAAATAAATATACAAGAATAACAGGATTCCCCATATATTTTCCCATACTTTCTGGGTGATCGTCTCCCCCCTCCACTACCCATATTTCCTGATATTTTCGGGGGTATCGACGATTCATTGTGTCTGTGTTTTTGCTCCCTCCTGAAGGGTCACTGCACCAACCTTGCAGGCGTGCTGCAGCGGAGTTTTACGCGCATTTCTGCCCATGCAAAACCCCGAAACGGCGAGCGAACAACGAAGTGAATTTCGCGCAGTTTCTTGCTTCATCTCCCTTGCTCAGATCCGCACAAAGTTCACCTCGACATCCGGAACGAAACTCTCCGGGACACCCTGGGCCCATCCGATCGCTTTCCGAGCGAAATCTGCTCTGCGATGTTGGCGCCACGAGAAGGATCCGCTTGGGACCTCTGTCGCACCCTACAAAAAAGTCCCTTGAAAATGGAAGCGGCGAAAAAACGGCGACCGGAATCGGCAACATAAACGGCTCCAGGAGTGAAACTGGAGCGGGAACCCGGAACAAACACGGCGACGGAACCGGCAACAAAGCGGCGCCGGAACCGGCCACAAAGACGCCAAGACGGAACCGGTAAAAAAAACGGCCCTGTCGCTTCCAGGGCCCACGACGTCCGGGGCGCCCTGGGCCCACGCGATCGCTTTCCGAGCGCAATCCGCTCTGCGATGATGGCGCCATGCGGAGGGTCGGCTTGGGTGGGAGGCCCAGAGGTTGACACCAACACCAATATCGGCGGTGTGCCTCCACCGTGGGAAGGTGCTCCCGATCTCGGCGATGGTGGTAATATTTCGGCGTCCTAGGTGACCCAGGTATTGCCACCGACACCGAATTCTAGGATCATCCTTCCCCCTGTTGAGGCATGCCCGTGTGTTGGTGTTGGTGCCCACTTCCAGGCCTCCAATTGGGACCTCGTGGCCCGCCGAGGCCCGATGCCTCGCGGCCCCACCTCGAGCCGCCGACGGTGGCTCCACGCCCCGGGCCGCGCACCGCGGGCGTCGAGAGAGAGAGAGAAGCGCCGGCCCCCTGTGGGGACGAGGGGGAGTTGCTCCTCCTCCTCCTCCTCCTCCTCCTCCTCCTCCTCCTCCTCCTCTTCTTAGTATTACTATTATGGGGGGGGCTCTCGGCGCGCGTGGTGTCTGCCCCCCTCCCCTCACCCCTCCCCTGAGCCCGGTCGGACTCCTCTGGCAGCAGGGGGCTCCAAAGCGCGCGCACATCGTCCGATAAAAGCCCGAGGACGGTCCACGAGTGCCCCAGGACTGTCCAGGAGACGTCCGAGAGGGCCCCAGATGGCCTCAACACAGCCCCAAAGGCTCCCAAAACAGCCCGAGATGAGGTGTTTGCCCTTCCCTCCACCCCTCCCCTGGGAACCCAGTCTGGTCAGTGCGGAGGGGGGGCCCCAGAGTCAACGGCCTGGGCGGAGTCATCTGGCCCCAGAAAGCTCCAAACGGCGCACAAATCGCCCAAGAAACTTGATGGCATGCAACAAGTACTACAGGACTGCTCAAGAGGCGTCCAAGAAGGCCCCCATCTGACCTCAACACAGCACCGAGAGCTCCCAAGACAGCCCAAGAGAGCCAGGGAGGATATCCAAGAGGGCGCCAAAACGAAAACACACCTAATATTAGGTGGGGCATGTCCCCCTACAGGCGGATTCCGGAAGACAGATAAAGCATACTCGAAACATATCCAAACATAGTCAACATAATGCCCCAACTATCGTCCCCATACTATTTGTTGATTATTGTTAATCTTCCTGTAGAGGGACACGCCCGACTTAAAACTAATGTGTGAGATGTAGTGTTTGCACATGTTGACGTACTCGTCGTGTCTGTCCGACCTCCAGCATGCCTCAGGCAATCCAAACGGGCCCGAAAGCCGCAGCATGGCAGCCCCATCGGCACCCACCGAGGGACCAAACACTGGCATACAGGGACCTGGGCTTTGGTCGGGCATGTCCTCCTACAGGCGGATGTTGGAGGAACATGCAACATAGTCAGGTCAAGCAGAATCAAAAAAACGTCCCCTGACTATGTGTTTGCTATGTTTGAGCATTCCGTTTGTAGAGGGACATGCCCGACTTAAACCTAGGCCCCCAGACTGCCCAAGAGAACCCCCATGAGGGCCACAAAGGGGGAGCCCACCAGTACAAGATGGCCCACAAGGCCCCCACCAAGCTTCCAGCAGGCCACCCGCAAAAAACCGAAACTACCCTGTAGGGTTCCTGTTGAACACGGGCTTGACGTTCCAAACGAACGCACGGCGCCTGGATGCTTCTGCGACAACGCCCCGAGGCAGAGAGGGCTCGAAAGGCTCCCAAGGGGTCGGCGGCTCGGTGGTAACGAAACAGCCCGTCATGCGAGCCAGTGACTGAGCCGCCGCCCACATTACCTCAAGGGAGCTACATTCCCGACGAGAAGCAAAAATCGGTGTTACGAGAGATGGCGTGGCGACTTTCCACCGCGGCTTGCGCGGACCGCCAGCGCGGCACGCGACAGTGGAAACGAGGGCGCTCACGCGCGACCTTACGCGGGCAACTTGCGCGCCAATGTCGGCGATGTTGTTACTCCGTCGCAGCGCGGGAAAGGCAATCCGCGCGAGCGCTCAAGTAGCCGGGGCCGCACGGCATACGACTTGTCTGGTTGCACGAAAACGAAAAGGCGAAGAGGGGCGGCCGCGAAGGACAAGGGGGTGAGGGCACTCGCCGAAGAAAGACTTTCGAGATAAGCGGTGCGGCCAACCGGGCTGAAGTGTCCTGCCTGTGGGCGCGGGACGGCATCACGACCACACCCAGGGGGCAGCGGCCCTGGTCCGTGGCCGTGCGAACGCACCCACTTGGACCACCGGTGGAGCTCCCTGAAAGACAGAAGCCAGGTGAGGGGGGTGCCGAAATGGGCGCGGCGGCGCCATGCGGACGCACCCACTGCGGCCATAGGTGGAGCTCCCTGGCAGGCAGGAGCCGTGTGAGGGGTGCGCCGAAAGGAGCGCGGCGGCGCCATGCTGACGCACCACTGCGGCCATAGTTGGAGCTCCCTGGGAGGCAGGAAACGTCTGAGGGTCCCGACATGCAGAAACGACAGGGGCGGGGAAAAAAACAGATGG